GGTGAGTTCAATCATCAGCTGAGAGGTTGTAGCGAATTGAGTTAGATAGACATTATGGAACAAATAGTAATGTGAAAGCCGAAGGCCCATGTTTTAGTAGTTTAACTAGCGAGACACTCTAGGTAGCAATTTGATACTTTTGGAAATTTTGTAGGACTCTTGGAAAAGTGAGATAACTAACGGTAATTAATGATAAGAGAGATTGTGCACTGGTACAAACAGACATTTATTATTCAACTTTCCTTTGAACTCACAATGTGTTTACCCGACAAAATTACAGATGTTGAGATGGAAAAAAATATGTAATGCTTATTATTTTGTGCAGATTATAGTAATCCTGAGATGTTCAGGGGACCGTAATTACATGAGAACAGTGTGTATACATACAAAACGTTGCAGCTACAGTGAGAGGTGGAGTGTATGATGGAAATATATTTAATTTTTTATGAGTCAAATTAGGAATTACTTACTCCAGTACCGTAAAACGTTTGCGCTTTGCATGAAAGCAACTGAATATATATATTCCTATGACTGACTTTATTAGTACACGTCTGACCCTCTGTTTGAAAAATCTAACGACATTTTATTCAATTTTCAACTGATTAATAGTAGGGTTTTTTTAATTTTTCGACATTAATGTCCAGGATTTGTGAAAACTCACAGAAGGCCAAGGTCAAGAATGGTAGTTCAATGTTGTGCCAATATATGACCTTCATCTTCATAATCCAATGTTTGATGTTTTCGCAATTACATGTCAAGATTGTGTACTAATGGTTGGATAAACGCCATTTTTCATTTCTGCGAGTACATGATGAATAAGCATATCTTAGTATTCTGACATGTGTTAAGTATCATAGAGCGCTTTTAGAAATCATTTCTTCGTAATACTGAGCTCAATGAAGTATTTTGCATGCAACTATGCTGATCTTCAAAATATATTCCGATTCAAAGAGTATTACTTGTGGCTAGCGTGTGATGAAGAGCCTGATGGATCGACAAATTTTAATGTTGGTATTCTGGAGTTAGCTGTACTTTTAAGATTCAATTAGTCGTTAATTTATTGGTAAACTGCCTAATGTCTTGTGAAGAATAGCAATCTCCGTTTCTATAAAGCTTTTGGTTAGCAATATAACGTATTTTCGCATTACTGCTTCATCTTGAAGAAAATACGTGACAACAAGATGTATTCGAATAATGTACCAATCAAGAATTTCCGAAATGTTGCTATTTAAAACATGTAGAATTAGATGAGCTGAAGTAGACGTATTATACTTGAAATTCGTAATCCACACGCAATAAAGTACAAAAGAGTCATCAGTTGGTACAAATACCATAACCACCGCAAACTAAGTTGGAGTCAAAATTTCTGTGGTCCAATTTCTTAGTGTGTCTGTCCGACAGTGTATAAGATGTAGCTTCTGTGTGATCTAGAAGACACTCTTTAGCACAAGAATCAACAACGAAAATTAGAACGGTCTCACTCGGTTCCTGTTACTGACGGTACATGACAGTTTGGTGTACATAAATCATTGGTATATAGAATTGGAACTATAGGTTTACCAACGTCCTTCACCACAAACTTCTCGATTGGTCGAAGATCATTTCAACGACAATATGTAACATCTGTAGATTCTAAACACTTGATATTCGAACGAGGTATCCTTCTTTTCCCATAACTCTGGTGAAGTCTTTTCCGTTACAGAATGTTTAGCATTTTCCTATTGGAGTTATAATGTTTCTACTTCCACCCCCCCACAGTTCATCAAGTGTTGCAGCAACTATGGAATTAACAACAATTTTCGATGTCCTGAGGAAATTTTTCTCCTAACCATGAAAAAAACGTGTATGATGGCAGTGATTGGACGTCTGAATCCTCTATCATTTTACCGGATGGTGAGTGCGTTTGCAGCTAAATATGGACCGTCATCAGTCACTTACACCGTAAGAATCCCCTCTCGACTAAAAACTTTTCTTAGTGCTTGAATTATGAAGTCAGAATTAGGAGGAGCTGTGAAGAAAATGTCAGGTCACTGAAAAAAAATCAATGACAAGTGCATGTTATTTGCTGAGAAATGGACCACGGTAATTTGCATGAATTCTCTGTCAGTCTTAGGATGATAGTGGCCACGGACTCCACTTCGAAGGATGACTTTTTGACTTATGACATTTCTCACAATTGTGTGGCGTATGTGTGAATTTATCTTTGACCGCCATCATATGAGCTCTGCCTTGTACTTCATTTCTACAACACCCATATACCCACTATACATTTCTTTGCCGACAGATTCACATAATGAAGGAAGGATTGCAGCACAGTCATTTAAATACAAAATACTTTCAAAAAGAGTGGACACCTCCTTCCCCTTGTAAGATAAACAGGAAACCTACGTTTCAGAAATCTTCGTAAGGGAGGTGTAAAAATTACCATCTCTTTATAGCGGTTTTCAGCATCTTTATATGAGTACTTTGTGCCCAGTAATCTCCAGTACTGGAACTTTATTGAGCCCCACTACAATATTAGAATCTAAAGATTGAAATAATGGACTCTACACGACCTTTATCAACAATAATTCATGAAAATAATGGGAGTAAGAAATAAGCTGCAAAGTTATCGTCTTCATCATCTTTTCTAGTTATTTGCAAAGTACTCTATGTATTCTCCAAAAATATCTCTGATTGCATTAGCATTCAACCGTTTAAAATTTGTCTCCGTTGTGACTCAACTTTTATATTTAAAAGTATTCAAATTAATATGTCAAACAAGAATTTCCGAAATAGTGCTATTTAAAACAGGTAAAATTAGATGAGCTGAAATAGACGTATTATACTTTAAATTCATGATCTACGCGCAATCAAGTACAAAAGAACCATCAGTTAGTACGAATACCACAGAGTATAACTATAGTGTTTGGAATTCCTAGAGTTCATAATGTCAGCATGACGATATCAAAACAGTGGTTGGGTAGCAAAATAAATGTAGGTTTAAAATGCAAAAAATATACAAAATACGTAAACATTTTCACCTCTAGGTTATGTGATCCATGTTCTTTAATAAGTAAGTTGTATAATCCAGCTATTAATGAGATAAGTGACTCAATAGTTCAAGCACTCGAAATCGATTACTTGTTAAAAAGAAAAAGTGTTCGAGGTAAAATAGGAACCTAGCTATTCTCAGTTAATCACCAGTCACTGTATTTGCGAATTTAGGAGCGTTCTAGCCACTCTTTCATTAGCAATTTAAAATATTAGTTCAGATAATAAAGAGGTGCAGAAAAATCCTATTCAGTAAAGTATATTGCCAATAGGCAGCTTAAAACATTCACCTTGCCATTGTTTTACATAAATTATAACCTTAAAGATGCCACGAATATTCGGAGTTTGATAACGCTTTAACCAGTAATACCTTTGCAGACCCAGTTGAGTCAGAAGTCAGGAATGAATAAATTCGAAGATATACCTAGAAGGCTATCGGTATATCGAAAGAACGTTTGGTCTAAGCCGGCTAGTAGCTAAAAGGGATGCGTCGAACGGCATACTCATTCGTCATCTGGTGCGGATACGTAGGCGAATGCCTTCAGCTAGGTGAGTTCAGTGAAACTAAAGCAGTCAGCATCAAACATAGAAGACTTCTAGGGCTATTGATTTTGGAAGTTTATTTACCGCTACAAACAACTAGTACGATTTTAAACCCCTATTTAGGAAATCCAAATTACTTCCAGAGAACATAAATATGACTAGAAACGGATACAATAATAAGGAGAATGTGTTTGAAAGCTACCATTAAACAAAAGATAACTGGCCTTACTAGTGTATGATCATATCAAGAGTAACTCAATATCACTCCAAAATTTGTCTTCAATATCTACAATAGTAATCCCTGAAAAAAACCATCATTAAGCTATCTAACCTTTCAATGCAGTTTCATCCTACGCAGATATACGATGCTTTTCCGCATTTTAAAAACTTAATTTGCCTAGTTTTGAAAAATAAGATCCTTTTTGTTTTTCTAAAATCAAATGTTAATTTCTAGTAAAACTGTATATTGCTTGTAACCTACTATTCGAATTGATGGCCACAAGTAGCATTTAAGTGTATTCCATCATAAAATACCAATTTTAAAAATACACCCCTTATAATGACTCTTAACTTTTATAATAGTTGAGACCATGAGTCGATTGAAGCTAGGCCACTATGGAAAACCTGGTTGTTTCGTCCTATTGTTGAACTTCTCAGCATTGCGCATCCACGATCCCGCATCGCGAGATTTGAACTCGGGACCTATCAGTCTCGCATGCGAACGCATAAACTCTAGACCACTGAGCCGGCATCCAACATTAACTAATCCACGAAATTGAGCGACACATCCACCATTGTTATCAGTGAGTTACTATCTCACAACAGACCCAGTTGAACTCCACTGCTTCTCACTAGAACTCTAGGAAATACTTCTTGAAGCCAGTCACTAGTGAGTATATGTTGATTAATATCAAAAATGGTTTTTGGGGATATTATATTAATTTTTAATAGTTGAGTGCTTCCAGGTTTTTCATAGTAGTCTAGCTTCAATTGACTGGTGATCTCAACTATTAAAAATTACTATAATATCCACAAAATCCCCTTCTGATCTTAATTATTTGTTCATGTGTATTTTATTTCCTAGTTTTGTTTAGATAAGTCTATTAATAAAAAGAAACGAACGAATAAAACAATTACTGGCATACATACTCGCGCACACACGTATATAATTACATTCAATAGTCAACTATATAACTTAAAGATGATCAGTTTCTTTTATTGATATCTTGTCAAGGTTACAAGGTAATGGCTGACCTAAAACTTAGTACAAGTCGGTAAACAAAGTAATTTCTTTTCACAATCAATACGATACGTAAATGTTATACATTAAAATAAATAAAAAAAGTTAACTATCATTTCCATGAAATATTGATAAGAAATAGAATAGTGAATGTCATTGTGTTAATCTATGGTTATTATTATATTTACTGAAATAGAAAAATCGATGAGACTATAATTTATGTAGGACCTTTAAGGAACTCTAGAATCACTTTGAAAATGTCCACTTCATAATCAGGACTAAATAAGGGTTATAAATCTGTGTGAAGAATTATAATTTACAATTGATAATTAAGCTTAGGAAGGAAGAAATCAAGAAGAAGCGCTGGAAGAGGATAGGACACACGTTGAGGAAAGCACCCAACTGCGTCACAAGACAAGCCCCCACATGGAATCCTCAGGGCTAAAGGAGAAGAGCAAGACCAAAGAACACATTATGCCGAGAAACGGAGACAGACGTGAGAAGAATGAACAAAAATTGAATAAAACTAGAGAGGGAGGCCCAGGTCAGAAAGGGTTGGAGAATGCTGGTCGGTGGCCTATGCTCCATTGGGAGTAACAGGCGTAAGTAAGTAATTAAGCTTAGGGATTAGATTTCGGGTTTTCATTACGATTTGATATTAGCTATAATGCTAAAACTCTATATTTATCCAAATGGTTAAGTGAATTTCATGTCAATATCCAAGATGTGTTATTTTATATCTGATTGATTTGTCCATATATTATAGTCTCGTTCTGAATCTATTCATCATCTTGTGCAAAAGGCAATGTTTCATTTGTTATATTAGATCCTAATGAACTTAATGATTCACGTTTATCATATAATGATGTTGAACTACTATTAGATATATTATGTTGTTTTTGATTAATTTTCAATTTACTACCTTGTTTTTGTTTTATTGTTTGAATTGATTTTCTATTATATTCTAATTGTGTATTCATTTGTAATTGACTATCATTTGTTAATTGTTCACTATATTTTCTATATTTAGAAATGTTATTATTATTATCTTGTACCAAAAAGGATGAATTCATATCATATTCTTGTTCTAATCTAGCTAAACGACGTTTTAATTTTGCTTGACTAGCACCAAATTCACCAATTAATCTAGCTAAACGTGTTGTTAATTGATTTACTGTACCATCAATACGTTGAACACATTGTTCTATTGATTCTTGTTGTTCTTGAGCTTTACGTAATACATCTTCATCTAATAAATTATCTTTACGTAATATATCTTGACCACGTTGCATAAGTATTGTTTTAGTTTCTGGATATTCAGTTAATGCATCCCAAAGATCATCTTTACTAAGGCAGAATAAATCAGAATAGCCAACAGATCGTACATTTGCTGATCTACGATTACCTGTTTTATTGCCTAAAAGAAATAATGATAAGAAGAAAAAGAAAAAGAAAATACACACAGCTAGAAATCAGAAAATAAACATTGATCAGATGATTTCATGATTGATCTAATTCAGATAGTAGCAGTTTGGAGATTTTAGGAAATTGAATTTAAAACTGCATAACCGGAGTATGCAAACAAATCATAATGTTAATCACTGTATAGATGCTTAATAGCTCTATGCATACATAAAAATTCCATTTGAATTTTAAATAATTAGTAAATTGAATTCACTTGGTGGTGTTTTACTTGTATTTTCCCATTGTTATTTAGGACTGTAATTGATCAGTCTCTTGTTGGCATATATGCATCTTGCGCGGATTGTCTCGATATAGCCTTAAGTCACAAGCTTCTTAAATACAGATGGATAGTGGCTAACAATGGAATCCAGGACATGCGCTATTCCGTCCTATTCGGGACTCGTCAGCTGGATGTACCTGCATCTCAGGGTTGATGTTCACTCCCGATACATCCAGCTGACGAGCGCCAAACAACATGAAATGGCGGGCGTCCTAGATTCCACTACTAGCCACTATTCATCTTTGCTTAATTAGTAAATTGTGTTGCAATTCGTAATACATAGCATTGGGAACATTGTATTTTAAGTTGAATATGACTAAAATGCAAGTCATATTCTTTAGTACAAATGTAATTTTTGTGTAATATAGAAATAATATTCATTAACTTATCTAGTTATATCAAATAATTCATGTTATGGGCGGTACGGAGTTGCATGTTGCTTAACTCTTAACAAAACGAAAGATGAAATGTAATTCATAACAAACATGTATCTTATGTATAAGAGAACAGTTATGATTTAAAGTAGCAACTATTTTTCAGATGTGAAGATTTTATGATTCGAATTCGCTCTACATCATAGGCCAACTTTAAGTAGCCAAAAGATGAAAATTGAAGGAGGGTAATAGGCAGTGTTTCTGTCGTAGTGTGATGTTCACAACCCCAATGTAGTAGGCTTTCATGATACCATTAACCGATAAAGTAGAATCCTTCAAACCTTGAGGTCTGATCATTACATTTGGATAGATGAGTTAGCCTCCAGTAATTCACAACTTTTAGCTCAATCAATCCATTATATTGCACGAATTGATTGAAGTTATCAATGTAAACCATTAGATATCGACCCAGTGGTCGAATGATCAAACGTTTGTCGAGAGACGGCTAAATAGTACCATACTAGTAGGAAACTGCTGTCTAGTGATTATTGATTTTAATGATTGTCTGAATTGGATTAGTTTGTGATATTGATAATGTATCTTCTCCCTAAAACATTGATGACTGTTTTTTTAATAACATCCCATAGTACTAGTGGGGTGTTAGAATAAATAAAAATCCTAAGATATAATTACTGTTAAATATTCTAGATCATATCTTTATCAATTATTAACAAAAGTCAATAAATTTTCTGAACAGTTATATTTAGACAAGAAATTGTATGTCAAAAACTAATAAAGACATAAATTATCGAATAGGAATTTGTTTGAAACTTTCATTATGAGGTTGTGAAGATTGTTGATATTTTGATTGAGATCATGAATCGTTCAATGTTAGACCATTGTTGAAAACTTGAATGCACTGGACGGCCTTTACGTGGATGCTCATTGCTCATCAGACCCATACTAGGACGAAACGGCCATCTAGTGTTTCCAAGTTTGAAATGGTGGCCTAACACTGGTTGATTCATGATCACAATCAAAAACTTAACAATCTCCACAATCCCATACTGATGACTACCATGTACTCATCAGCAATTGGCTTAGAGAGGTAATTCTCGAAATTCTAGTAAGAAGCCGTGACCATTAGAGTCTCATCCGTGTCGAGTGTGAGGCAGTTATCCACCAAAGATAATGGAAAACAGCCACGCGATTTCGTGGATTGGTTGAAGTTAAATATGAACACCGTCAAACGCCGGTTCAGTGGTCTAGATGTTAGGCATTCATGCATGAGAGTGAAGTTTCTGATTTCGAGAAGTGCATGCGGGATCGTAAATATGCACTTTTGAGGAGTCCCATACTAGAACAAAACGGCCTTCCAGTGCTTCCAGGTCCTCAAACAAATGGTTGAAGTTCAGTCATACCAGTGTATGGTTGACTGACGTTAAATTTCACTGATATGCTTGCTAGATCATGAAATTATTTAAATCGTATAGTAAATTTATACACTTACTTTGACTGATGTCTCAACAAATTGGGACTAAATGAAATGATATAAACTGTGATTATTATATACTTCATTCTTTCAGAGAGAGGTTAACGGGCGAATCCAGGGTGCATGGTTCATGCTGACATATAATGCGTAAGATTCCATTTACAGGATTGGTTTATTGGTCATTTAGACATATATAATTAATTTACACTCATTGTAAATGTCATGGCAGATTTCTAAAGAAGTTTGAATGTCAACAAAGTGTTTTGTCATTAAATGTTTTAATAGGTTTTCTACTGTAATTTGCTATAATCACATATTTAATGTGTTGTGTCTTTAAACCCGGTTAGTTATCACATGATTTATTCGTCAATCGAAATATGACTTATTCAATCTTCACACTGTGCCAAACCAATGACGTTCAACCGGTATGAGCAGCCTAGCATCTTTGTTGGTCCTTTGTTCGCCTAGCTTGTCCAACTGAGTCAAGAACATCAATAACAGCTTCCACTACGCGAGTCATTTATTTAAAACATACTTGGTTTATATACCAGCCAAACAGATCGCATCACATGATAAAGTAGAAAATGACATTTATACAAGATCAAGCCAAAATGTGTCTGTGAACGTGGGAGACAGTAATCAATAAACTGGGTATAAGTTAAGAACAATAAGTCGTATCATAATAGTCTGTAGGTCAAAATAGTAATAAGGATATAGATATACATAATCTAGTTACTGAATAGTTATACTGTATATATATAATATTAGTCCATTAATAGGTCTCACAACTTACCAGTAATTTAATCTTCACTGGGATATAACATAATGAGTTAACTATCATAAGTAAAAGTTAGATATTAGTACTTTCCCATCAGTAATTAATATAAGATTTATAAAAAAAGAATGATTTAATTTCACTTATCAACTATAATGATATACTTACCAGCTATATTTAATATAGATATTTCACCGAATACAGAACCTTCACCAAGTGTAACAAATACAGTTTTACCATCTTCAGATACTACACTTAATTTACCACGTTTAACTATGTACATTTCTTTGCCAATATCACCTTTTCGACATATATAATCACCTGGTGAAAATACTTGTAATTGAAGTTTAAGTACTAATTCCACTAGAAGACCAGGATCACAATCCTAAAAATAAATAGAACAGAAAAAGAATATGTATATAAATATATTAATGATTTATATTCAGAAGGGGGTTTTTCGTGGATATTATAGTAATTTAAATAATTGTGATCATGAGTCAATTGAACCTAGAACACTATGGAAAACCTGGAAGCACTGGAGGGCCGTTTCATCCTATCAAGGGACACTTTAACCGTGCTCATCTACTATCCCGCCTCGCGAGATTCGATTTACCAAATGGAGCTGTTGTTTGTTTCTGTAATTTATCATATTTTATAATATTTCTATTCTAAGACAATAACTATGTGTAAATATTTACTGTAACCTCTTTCATCAATCGCTTTAATGAAGTAATTGAAAGTAGAAAAATATTATACGCTTTAAACTTTAGATCTTGCGATAAACCTGTTGAAATTGTATTTAAAGACTGCTTTTATATGATTCTAACCATGATCTCAGGTTTAAGAGTAATGCTTTTGAGTTTATGCAAATGGTAATAACTGTACTTACAGTTCGTGTAAACTGGCTATTGATTGTTAGTATCTAAGTTGGTTAAATAACCTTAAACAAGTTGACACTACTATTAATCCATATACATATATACATTGTATAACTATTCAGTAACCAGATTATGTATATCTATATTTCTCTTATTATAAGCTTTATTTTGATTTATAGATTATTATTATACAATTTACTATTCTTAAATTATGTCCAGTTTATTAATTACCGTATCCCACAATCACAGCCACTTTCTGACTTGATCTTGTATAATTGTTATTTGATATTTTATGGTGTAATGTCATCTAGTTGATTTGTATATAAGCCAAATATGTTTGAAGTATATAATTTGTACAATGGCAGTTGTTGTTGGCGTTATGGACTCAACAGGCAAGGCTAAGCAAGAAAAGGGTCAATAAGGACATTAAGTTGCTCATAACGGTCAATATGTCATTGGTTTGACAGCGTTAAAATTGGTTAGGTCGTAATCTGATTGGTGAGCAAATCACGTGATAATTAGCCCGGCAAAAGTCACATTATTTATATAGAACATGTAATTTACATGAGTTCTCATATGTAGATATGGTTTTAAATAATAATTTGATTTATCTTACATTGTTTCTCTGCATAGTTTATGTATGAATGAGTTTAAGACTCACAGTAGATTACAATATGTTATAATCATTGATGTATTCAAAAAAAAGAATACAGATTGAAAGATAAAACAAGAAAGTATGGTTTAATGAAAACAATAACGCTTCTAGATGAATCGTTTTATTTTTTCCAAAGATTATTATACCAGCTTTGATGTATTTCTGTATTAAAAGAAGTAAATTGAAATTAAATCCACTTGGTATTGTTCACTTGAATCTGCCTATTGATGTTTAAGAGTACAATTGATCAGTCTCTTATTAGCATATGTGCATATTGTACGTATTACCTCGACATTGACTTAATTCATAAGTGTTTGAAGCGAACGGTACTGGGTTCGAGTCCCAGAGTGCACATCACTTCAGAGATGCAAATAAATCCACCTGACGAGTCCTAAATAGGACAAAATGGCGTGCATCCTGGATTCTATTGCTAGCCACTATCCGTCTTTGCTTGTAAAGTGAGATTGTTCACTGGGGAAGTTCTACTTCAAACTACTCCATTTTTAAATGCTTGTCTCAATTTTGAGAAATAGTTATTCATGTGAAATAGTCAATGCTTTCAGTTTATTATTACATTAAGAAACTACTATTTCTTGAATTTCTTTTCATAATATATCTAATTAAAACAAGCTTAATTTTGCTGAAAGTCAAGACAACATTGTTATAACTTGTGACCGCCGATTAGAGAGCAGTGGATTATCGATCGGACCAAGGACGCATAAAACACGTGCGAGCAGCCTAGAGTACTTATCTGTCATGCTTTCCGCCTAGCCCAGCCAGTTAAGTCCTGAACACTAGTCTCAGCCTCTACAATATGAATCATATTTCAAACATACTGAGTTTATAAACCAAACAAACAGACCACAACGTACGAATAAAATATGAAACAACATTTGTACAAAATTCGGCTAAATGTGGCTGTGAATGTAGGAGGTAGTAATTAATAGACTGTGCATAATTCAAGAATGGCAAAACGTATAATAATGGTTCATAGGTCAAAATAAAGCTGATAATAAGAGGAACAGGAATATGAATAGTTTAGTTATTTAACAATTATACGATAAAAATATACGTTTAGTATTGGTCCATAAATAGATCCCAAAAGTTACCATTCATTATTCTTTTTGGGGCATAACAATCATTTAATAATATTCGGATGTACTATCTCTTAAGGTTATCACACTATGACTTATGTACAATATAAATCAATAAAATTACCGCATGTCTTTGTTCGGGACGATAGATCCCCAAACTCATATTTCAAAATTTTTTCGCATCGATCAACTTATTGATTAAATGGTTAAATATTTGTATTGGGGTCAAGTAATGAACTGATCGATTAAATGTTTGAATAGCAGTCAATAGATGAACTATCGATTCAATGGGCAAATAGGTCAATTTATGAACTCATTGATTAGTGTTAACAAGTTTCTATGACAATATCGATTATATATATATGTTTTAAGTTGTGTTTTGCTTGTTGCCTGCTTGCTTGCTTGCTTGCTCGCTGTTTGTAGAATATATTTTCCATACCAAGACTGGACTTCTTCTTCTAGATAGCGAGGCTGGGACGCGTCAATAGTTAGATCACTGGTCTTTGGTCACTGAGTATTGTTCTCGTTCGCAGTTTAAGTGAACTCGTGAAGCTTTCAAACATAACAGTCTTAAAATGTTGGATATCAGAAAGCATGAAATATTATTTGAAAGAACATCTTACTACTGCTAGTATCCTCACCAATAAGTAAATAAACAGGATTCATATTTGACTTCTTATTATCAGCTAATAAATTAGAAACATTTTAATGATCAGATTATTATTTAAACTATGAGAATGAAGATTTTTTTTATAGATTGTCATATAAATTATTATTTAATGGTTGAATTCATGAGCTGATTTAAGTTAGATCACCCTAGGAAACATGAAAACACTGGACAGTTGTTTTGTTCTAGTATGAGACTCATTGTCAGTGCGCATCAATGCTGATGCACGATTCCACAAATCCTCATTCTGACAATAATTATCATGTGCTCATTAGTAATTAGCTTCGAGAGGTAATTATCGGACTTCTACTAAGAAGACGTGACCATTAGAGTCTCATCCGTGGCGCGTATGAGACAGTCATCCAAAGAAGATAAAGGAGAACAGTCACACAATTTCGTGAATTGGTTGAAGTTAAATTTGAACACCGTCAAACGCCGGTTCAGTGGTCTAGATGTTAGGCATTCATGCATGAGACTGAAGTTTCTTATTTCGAGTAGTGCATGCAGGATAGTAAATAAAAACTTTTGAAGAGTCCCACAATAGGATGAAACGGCTGTCCAATGCTTCCTGGTTTTTCAAAGTGGTTTCAAAATCTTCATTCTAACAATAATTTATTATTAATGAACTAATAATGTAAATAACTCAATTCAAGATGAGACCCAACGGTTTCAAGTTTAAAACCTTGTTATGAAGCTCAAAGATTCTATATATATACTGATACTATAGCGAAAGAGAACATATGCGAAGACAACCGAATTATATTTAGCACACAACATTACAGAGTTCCTTGGTAAAATAGAAAAAACATACTATAATACCTAATTTGCAAAATGTACAATAATTGTCTCAGACTTCATTGTTCTTGCATTTCTATACTAATTACTTTCTATTCCCGTTCTTCCTTTCTTGATCTTCCCAATCTTCTGCTGTCAGACATTACATTCCTGACTCGCATTATATACTACTTATGTCTATATCAGTAGCACGTACCACAATACCAAGAAGTTTTATTACTAGGACGAAATATATATATCCAATTTCTGTTACTTTCCAATAGTTATATAACTAAAAACCCAATCCATAATATAAATTATAAAATTCATGATAAATTTTAATTTTTTGATTGAGATCATGAACCAGTTGATGTTAGACCACCTTTGGAAAGCTGGAAGCCCTGAACGGCCGTTTCGTCCTATTATGGGACTCCTCAGCAGTGCGCATCCACGATCCCGCTCGTGTGATTCGAACCCACAGCCTTCGGTCCTGCGCGCGAGCGCCTAACCAAATGGACCACTGAGCTGTCTGGCATCCAATAGTGATAATGTCTAACATCAACCAACCTACGAAATTGATCAACCATCTTCCATTGTACTGAGGTAGATACCTGTCTCTACCCGACATGGATTAGCTCCACTGGTCATGATCTCAATCAAAAACTTTATAATCTCCACAACCCCATAACTAGTAAATTTTAATTCTTTTTTCCCCTCCCTTTTTCCCTATTCATTTCAATTTTTTTAAAATCCAACAATTTAAAAATGATGCAATAAAATAATAGTGAAAGTTTCTTTCTTTTTTTCAAAACAAGAAAAAAAAGAAAAATAGAATAAAGAAAATTTTAAAAATATCCATTAAAATTTGTTTCTCGAAAAAAAACACACAAAAAATCGATTCTGGAAAACATTTCGATTTTAGAATGAATAAACAAATAAATAAACAAAATAGATTGAATGAAAAAAATGTTTTTTTTTCAACTTCATTTCAATGTTTTTTTGTTTTGTTTTGCTTTTTTTTTGAAGAAAAAAAGAGTGACCTTGGTAACCTTTTTTTATTATCTTGAATTGAAAAGAACATTTATTATGTAGGTATTATGATTTAGTATTTTTGTTCTCTTTCATTATAGTACATTAATAAATTGAATTAATAAATGTCAATCAGAGGTAATATAAATCATTAAAAGAATGATATATGAGAAAAAGAAGAAATGTTACGTTCTCTAAGTTGAATGATTGAATTGGGGAAATTGATGATGTTGTTTAGAAGAACAATGAAAATTTCCGAATTAATTAAGATCATGAACTGAATGATGTTGGACTACCCAGTGAAAACCTGGAAGCAATGGATGGTCGATTCGTTCTATTGGGAGACTTGTCAGCAGTGCGCATCCACGATCCCGGTCGTAGGATTCGAAACCACGGTCTATAGTTTTGCGCGTGAACGCTTAACCTAACGGACCACTGAGCTGGCCGGCATCCAATGGTGTTAATGTCTAACCTTAATTAATCCACGAAATCGAGTGACTATCTCCCATTGTACTGAGGTGGATACCTGTCACTGCCCGAAACGGATTAGTTCCATTGGTCACGGCTTCTCATTAGAATTCCGAGAATTCCTTCACGAAGCTAGTCACTAGTGAGCACATGGTAATTATCAATATAGGGGTTGTGAAGATTGTTAAGTTTTTTTTTTAAAATTGAGATCGTGAAACGATTGATGTTAGGTTTTCAATGGTGGTCTAACATCAACGACTTAATACTCTCCACAACCCCTACAGTGTTAACTAAAAGTGTTTCCTTTATTTCAATGTCAAATATAGTATGAAAATATTGTTGAAATTATTTATTGTATCGACGAATATGCCTCTAAGTAGTTAAATGAATATTTCAATTGAATAATTCATTAAGAACAATGAATTGTATAACAGAAAATTCTAAAGATAGTTGACATGCACTCGTTTGTATACATGTTTACTGAGTGTATTACGTGTTTATTCACCAATCGTTAGATAATTTGTTAACATTCATGGTAGATTTGTAAATACTTATAGGAGAAATCTATACTATAGATAAGGTTTTCTAGTATCCCATTATTAACATTTATTACTGAATTTTTATCAGTCTTTGTTGACACCTGTGGATTGTAAGTGAATCGTTTCAATATAATCGCTTTGCAATAAGTTTCTAAACATTAGAATTATGTTTAACAGTGGAATCAAAGACTCGGGGTTGCGTTGTATTAGACTGTAACAAGACAATCGTAAATATGAACTACAGATGACATTCTTATCAGTTTAATAAAGTAATGGCTTTTACAACCTAGCAACATTGTGAATAACTACTTATTAGCATTTTAAATAAAAAATATTAGGTATAATACTCAGTGAGAACAATAACAGAGGGTTAAAGTTTCATCTAGCTGACAAGCTTCAAATATACAGTAAAAAAGGATCCTCGATTCCGATTCCAGCCAAAATCTTTATAATCTTAACTATCGAGTATCTTTCAAACTATAATATTTGATTGTGAATAATGTAATGGTCTATTAATTTCTCAGGTGGAATTGTGGTGTGCTACTTATATTGACATAAATAGTAGATGACGTTAGTCGTGAACAGAATGTCTGACAGCAGATAGACAAGAGGATCGAATAGTAAACAATGGAAACAGAATGCAATTTGTATGAAAATGCAAGAACAATGAAGTCTGAGTCATCTTAAGACAACTTATGGACATTTTGCAAATTACGTATTTACTATTTGATTGTTACTTTTTATTAACAAGTCCTGTAATTTTCTGTTAAATACATTCGATTGTCCCTACTCGTGTTCTGTTCACTACTGAATGACTTCGTAAATTGTCCAATTTATTCATTATGTTTTATTAACAATCATAAACTAAGATATATCCAATTCGAAGATAGTTTAACTGAAGGCTAATAACATCTATAAAAGAACACTAGTTATCAGGGAGCATAGAATAGGTCATTCATTTCGATCTCAAATATTTTAGTCAGAATACAGTGGTTCACATATTTCATCTTCAGTGATTTCGTTAAATAATCTGGTTATCAGTCAACATCATTAGTTGGGGATGTTTGATCCACAGAACTCACTTGATAAATGCCTTAGTTTTATAATTTTGTTTGAAAACTTAAATTTCCTCGTTTTCGTGCCAAAAGCACATTTTTCACCTTCACTTCGTATTTCCTTCTTGGGAGAATCTTTAGCGCTATTGATCCGTTGTGTATTTTTAGTATGATATTTCGCAACGCTTCCCAAGGACGGTTTTATGCTGTATATATACGTTTGATTTGTGTCTGTTATTATTCACTCGTGCTTCTGCCATGGAATATACTTTTCCGTTCCAAGCTTGGACTTCTTCCTCTAGTTAGCGGGGCTGGGACGCATCAAATAGCTAGCATATTAGTCTACAGTCACAAGTCTTTGTTCCGTTCGCATACTAAGTGAACTCGTAATAGCTTCAAACCTAGCAGTAAGTATTCATCAATGACTATTTCTGAAATGAAATTTTTTTGACATGAATATTATTTCAAGAAAGACTTGTCAAATCTTAATATTTTGCTCTTTGATATGAAATTTTTGTTTGACATTACTAATCCAATGTGTGCTACTGATGTTGATAGATATAAGTAGCATGTATCATCAATCGAAAGTGAAATGTCTAGTGTTAGAATGTTAACAAGATCAAAGGAAAGAGAACAAGAACAAAGAATGATTGGTATAGAAATGAAAGAACAATGAAGTCGAAGACGATTGATTGACATTTTGCAAAAGAAGTATTTACTATATTGTTCTCAAATTTTACTAAGATGTTTCTGTAATTTTGTGTTCAAATAGATTCGATTGTCCTCAATTGTGCTCACGTTCACTACACTAAAAAAGAATTAAACTTATCTCTACTTTTATCTTGTTTACATTTAAATTATGCAATGACCTTAAATCTGTAATCCGAACACTGACCTTGACTATTCTTTGGTTGATAATTTGTCATTTTATCATATTTTTCTCAAGATTATGGAGTTATTAAATGAACAGAGTAATTTTATGGTTCTTTTACCTTTTTTGAATACAGTAAAAACTCTCATATCAAAGTTCATCTTCTCTTCTATATCATCATGGATATTCAGAAAAATACGATTCAAGTAATGTTTTCAAGCAATAATAGCAGATATTATGTAATTTTTAAAAACGGCGACACTACATTTCAATGATGGATAGTGGCTAGCAATGGAATCCAAGACGCGCGTCTCGTACTATTTAAGACTCGTAAGTTGGATGTACCTGCATCTAAGAGTTGACGTTCACTCTGGGACTCAAACCCAGTACCATCCACTTCAAACGCCACCGCGTTATCCACTCAGCTACTGAGTTCTGATAGCCATTTGCTTGTGCAATGGGGTGAATTCAAATTCACTTGGTATTGTTTGGCTTGTATCTTCCCATTGAGGTTTAAGATTGCGATTGATCAGTCTGTTATTGGCATATGTGCATAATGTGCGTATGCTTCGATATTACCTTAATTCACAAGCTATTTGTAAGCAATGATGGATAGTGACTAGCAGTGGAATGCAGTTTGACGCGCGTTTCGTCCTATTTGGGACTCGTCAGCTGGATGTGCCTGCATCTCAGAGTTGATGCTGTGAATTAAGGTAATATCGAAGCTTACGCCCAGTATGCACATATGCCAATAACAGACTGATCATTTGCAGTCTTAAACCCCAATGGGAAGGTACCAATACCAAGTGAATCCACTACATTTCAGTTTTTAATAATATTGATCAAGAAAATTTTAGAAATGGGATCATTTCTTAATAAAATATTATAATGTACTTCTAATTTGATGAGAATAAACAGTTAAAAGAATGAAATGAGTTAAATAATTGATGAACACTTTTAAAATAATCCTATATTCTTAGAAGAATCCAATATAATATTTTATAAAATTCAAAACATTGTGAGCAAAGATTGATAATGACTAGCAGTGGAATGCAGGATTTAAGTCCCACCTTATCTGAACTCAGCAGCTAAGTGGATAACGCGGTGGCATTTGAAGAAAACGGTATTGTATTCAAGTCCCGGAGTGAACATTAACTCTTGGATGCAAGTACATTCACCTGAAGAATCCCAGATAAGACGAAACGCTTATAATGCTTGTGACTCAATACAACATTGAATCAATCCACACAGAATGTACATATGCCAACAAGAAACTGATCAAATTCAATCATAAACATCAGTTGGAAGATTTAAATAATCAGTACAAAAATAAATCGAAATTCAAAACAATTATTGATTTTAATCCAAGATTTATTTAAGTAGTATATATATGTTCACCTATAAAAAAACTATTTAAAAAAGAAATAAAATACGCTTACTTTAAATATGCTAACACGTTTTAATGTATCAAAATGAACGTGAATAGCAATTTCAGCTTTTAATTTATCTGGTAAAGCATTAAGACTATCCTCTTCTAATGATTGTTTATTAGTCCATAAATAATCAAACCATCTGATTACTCGAAGTTCTAATTCTTTGTTAACTTTACGAAATTCCATATATCTAAATGTTATGAAACAAAACAATAGATTAATAAATAAAGATTGTTTTTCTTATCATTTAAGAGTAATTTTCACTAGTTATCTAAAGTATTGTGATAATCAATAAACAGATGATTTAGTATGGTGTTGCACACTTCATTACTGTTCATCTAAGATTATTCTGTTTGAAATCAAATTTATGACTGTCAAATCCCGTGATATTCAATAATCAGTGAGCTATATTACCAGCTAACTAAGATTTGAAACTATGAATAAACTTACCACAAAATATGAGAGTCTTGCATTCGAGCCTCCCAGTGTTCGATGATGGGTGTTTCCTATCAAAGAACCCTAACCTAAGAAAAGAAATTATCCGCTTATTCCTCACACTCTATATATCTCAAGCATGAGTTTATGATTTCCTCAAAGATATTTCATCATCATTATGTTGTAAATAAAGTTTATTAATGTTGTATTATATCTTTCGGCTGTACAATACACGTTGACATAATAATATACCTTTATAACGCCTAAAAATCTCATCAGTTGATCAAACCTTGAATACTTATACTGTGGTGCGTGCTAAGTATATTGATATACGTAGTGTATGACGCGAGTCAGGAATGTAATGTCTGGCAGCAGAAGATGGGGGAAGATCAATAAAGCAAGAGCGGGAATAGAATGCAATTTGTATGAAAATGCAAGGATAATGAAGTCTGAGGCATTTTGAAACAATTGGTGGACATTTTGAAAATTAACGATTTGATATATGGTTGTCAGATTTTATTGAGATGATCTGTAATTTTGTGTTAAATGCATTCAATTGTCCCCACCGGTGTTTTTGTTCACTACTACCGTCATATTTTTCACTTCATATTAAAAAATGTCTACCATATTCTATCTTTGGATATTGAATGTAGGTTTATTCTTAAAAATCAGAAATACAGTGTGATACTTGTAGCTTAAACTCCGGAAAAACAGTGATTGGTTTTTCGGGAATACTTTTCACCACTTATTGGCAATAATTACAAAATTATCGAAAAAAAAATTGGTGACTATTAATTCAAAAACAGACTGATCGGAAAGTATACACTGGTGAACTTTTTTTGAACTAAAAGTTTTTCATGAAGTTACATATAAAAACAAACATGTCAGAATTCATTGTTGTATTCGTTGTTTAAATCTTCCTATTGATATTTAAGACTGAAGCTGATCAGTCTCTCATTGACATATGTGAATTCTATGAGGATGGGCTCGATATTTTCCTATATCATAGAGATAATTGTAACTGAAACAAAACATTTTATTATGTATAAAATTGAAACTAAAAATCCATATTGAGATCATGAATGAACGAATATTAAACCACCATTGAAAACTTCGAGGCATTAGACGACCGTTTCGCCCTAGTATGGGACTCCTCAACAGTACGTATTGACGATTCCGCACACACTACTCGAACCTAGAACCTTCGGTCTTTCGTGCGAATGCCTAACCTCCAGACCATTGATACGACATTCAACGGTGTTTATGTCTAACTTTGACCAATTCATGAAATTGAGGTGGATAACTGCCTCACATCCTGCACAGGTTAGCTCCACCGGTAAAGGCTTCTCACTAGAACTGTGAGAATTACCTTCCAAAGCTAGTTAGTAGGAAGTAAATAGTTATAATCAGTATGGGATTGTGGAGATTTTTAATTTTTTTGATTGAGATCATGAATCAACCAATGTTAGACCACCACTGAGAACCTTATGATCTAACATTGATAGATTCATGATCTCAGTCAAAAACTCAACAATCTCCACAACTCCATACTGACAAAAATGTATCATAGGTCCATGTTTAATTTTAACATTACATACTTACTTACGCCTGCTACTTCTCGTGAAGGAGCATAGGCCATCCACTAGCATTCTCCATCCAATCGTGTCTTGGGCAATCCTTTCCAGCTCTTTCCAGATGTTATTCATTCTTTTCATATTTGATTCTATTTCCCGAAGTAATGTGTTCTTCGACTTTCCTCTTTTCCGCTTCCCTTCAAGATTGCAAGTTGAGGCTTGCCTCATGATGCAGTTTAATAATTTGCCTAATGTATGTCCTATTTATCTCCATTGTCCTTTCCTAATTTCCTATTCAACTGGAAGCTGATTTGTTCTCTCGCTAATTTTAACATTATATTCATGATATTCATGCAATAAAATGTACTTAACCAATCTCATTGACTACACATAATTAATAAGTTAATCAAGCTTATAGTCAATTTTCAATCATTTCTATTGTTTTAAAAAGAGCAAGAACAAAGATTGGTGCAGAATAATATGAATACATTTCATTTCGTTAGGTTCTCATCAGCTGCTTACAACCTAAATTATTTGAAATTCAACATTATTACAGATATTGACATACTTATACAACAGAGGATGATGAAGAATGAATATATGTAACATGATGTAGCAAAGATTCCGTTAGAGTTAGTGAGGTCATAAAAGTTTTTGTTTTGAATATATAGAGTTTGGGAGGAAAAAGTTCCAGAAAATTGAGATAGTGATTAGAAATCATGGAATTAAAACACATTAGACGATTATGTAATGAATTAACTGAAAATAGATTAATGTTAATAAAGAGAGATATGAATTGAAATTGGTCAGTTATGAATGATGTAATAAAATTCGGAAAGAGTTAGAATGACGTAATAAAAATAAATAAAAATAATAGTGAAAGGGGGATTGGGTGAATGTTACCAGGGCAAAGAGAGATTTATTACTGTTTCTTTTTGTATACAAAGATCTGGTTTTAAACGTTCGATTGCTATTGCTTCGGCGAATTTCAAAAGGTTTGAATTTGATTGTTTGTTAATCACTTTGAAGGACTTCAGTATATCGACTTCGTGTCCTGTGTCAAGGAGATGTCTTGCGACAGCGCTGCTAAATGCTTTTAGTCCGTTTGATCTCAAACTCTTCGAAATATGTTCTTTGAATCGAACGTAGGCTCTCCTTTCTGTTCTACCAATGTAACTGCTTTGGCAGATACATGTAAATTTGTATACACAGTTGGTGGTAACATGAAAGGGATACCTGTCCACCTTCGATTGTGTCAAAGAACATGTCGTTTTAGACAGGACAATCAATTTAGCTGCAGGATATGTTTTTGTCAATGCAGTTTTTAGTCTCATATTGATTGAGCCTGTGACATTATCACCTTTGAATTTGAGTTGAATAAAAACAGGTTTTTTATTTACCGTAGTTTCTTTGGGTATTTTAGCTTCACGTTTTCCATATTTCTCAATAAATCTCGATGGGTATCCGTTATTTCTTAAACACTTTTTAACATTCATAATCCCCTCTTCTATTGTATCGGCAGTACATATTCTTTCTGTTCTGTCAAACAGTGTTTTGACGAGTGTCATTTTATAATCAATTATAAACTTTTATGACCTCACTAACTCTAACGAAATCTTTGCTACATTATGTTGCATATATTCATACTTCATTGCCCTCTGTTGTTTAAGTATGTCAATATCTGTAATAATGTTGAATTTCAAATAATTTAGGTTGTAAGCAGCTGATGAGAATCTAACGAAATAAAATGAATTCATGTATTATTCTGCACCAATCTTTGTTCTTGCTCTATTTAAGATAATAAAAGGAACTATGTGTATGACATTTCTATTGTTTGATGTTCATTACATTGTTTAAAATAAAAATTCAAATATTATACTTGATTAAATCATTTATTTACAATCACTTACACACCTTTTAACACCATCCATTTTATTTTGAAATTCTGTTCTAGCTGCATTCATATTAGTTATCATTGCTCCAACATTACCAACAACCGTTGCAAATATTAATACTCCAACAAGAAAATCAATAGTGATAAATATATATTCAGCATTTCTTACTGGTTTTGGTGTTTCACCAATTGTTGTTAAAATTAATGTAGACCAATAAAAACTATAAACATATTGAGAAAATAATCGATCCCATTGTTCTGTATAATTTTTAAATTCATCCGATGTATCATCACTGGAACGTGGTGGATAAACAAATGAATCTGAGCTTAAACCTATTTGATTAGAAAATGAAAACAAAAACAAAATGTATCCATATTTTAGTTATCAAGTTTATTCATGAATAATAATACTTTAATGTTTATTCTGTTCTACATGGTAATGCTAAATGTAGATTCACTTACATATATAACACTGTATGATTTCTCAGAAAATGTAGAATTCGAAGTTGAGTGTATAAATGTGTACTTGACTATTGAGTTACATCGAATTATAATCAAGTTATGGATAAATCACATTAGATGATCACGTCTGAAGTGATAGTTACTGGATTTGATAACGTCTCTAGCCACTGTGTTGCACCATCTCTCGGACCCCAACCAGGGAGTCGTGAAGAACCGACACAAGCCAGTCCTTTGCAGCTTTCTTTCATACCACGACACCATGTCATATACTGACCACCTCTCCGCTTTTTTCAACCAGTTACAGAGTTGGCAAATACTACACGACGTGGAATTCTCTGGGACGACATTCTTAGAACATGTCCAAGCCACTGAAGTCGGTGTTTCAAGATGGTGGCACCAATTGCATTATCGTCTCTGTGCCCGAACACACGATGCCGAACCTCTGTATTACTGACATGGTGTTGCTACTGGATTTCAGCAATCCTTCGGAGACAACTATGATCAAACACAGAGAGTCGTCTAACATCCTCAACTCGAAGAGGCCAGGTTTCACAAGCATAGAGAAAAACTGCACTTTTTACATCTAGACTGATATAACAAATGCGCCAAAGATAGCCCAGATTGGCATAAGCCGCTCTGGCTTTCACTATACGTGCATTGATCTCATCACTTACACCCCCACCAGCACTTATGCAGCTACCTAGATACACGAACTTCTCGACTACTTCTATCTGCTCACCATCAAGGGTGAGTACAGAATTAGAATCCTGCCAGTCTTGTAGAAGTAATTTGCACTTCGGAGGTGCAAAGCACATATCATACCACGGACACTGATTGCCAACTGACTAAGTACGGATTACATGGCTTGGGCATTATCGCACAGTAAGATAATATCATCCGCATACTCAAGGTCGAGAAGTCTTTCTCCAGGTAACAGATCCACACTGTTAGCTAAAAACAATCTATCTATTCCTCCAATCATTTAATCTTATAAGTAGAAAAAACAAAACGAAAGAAACGAACAAAACAAACATACCAGTAGCCCGACTAAATCCAAAATAAATACATGCATTCCAATGAATTAATACTAATATATAAGTAGTAAGCATTGAAATACGAAATAAATTTGGTCGATTTGTACGTGTTTCAGTTCTATCAACAAATTCAAATGATCTATAAATTTTCATTAAACGATTAAATCTTAACCATGAAGCATAATGATTTAATACTGGTATAAAATAAAATAAATCCGTTGGCAATATTGCCATTATATCAATAATAAATTGTCGTCGTTTAATATAAGCTTGTTTTAATTTTTCTTTATCACGTACTAATAAACCTTCTTCTAAGTAACCTGAAGAATTGATACAAAAAGAAAATAGAAAAAAATAAAAATAGAGTAAAGAAAAACTTTTTATCAGAACGGGTTATGTGGAGATTTTAGTCATTTCATTAGTTGAAATCATGAGTCAATTGAAGCTAGACCACCATGGAAAATATGGAAGCACTGGAGGGCCGTTTCGTTCTAGTATGGGACCCCTAAGAAATGCGCATCCGTGATCCCGCCCCCGCGAGGTTCAAACCCAGGATCTATCAGTTTCGCGTGCAAGCGCTTAACTACTAGACCACTGAGCTAATCGGTATCTAACGGTGTTAATGTCTAACTTTAATCAAAAATAGTGAATTTCAGTTAGTTCATATGGTAATAACAGTCAACAGTTTGGTTAACATATTTGAAAACTGTGTATTATTCAAATCTGATAAAATGCTGTCATACTATTTTAAATTTATGTTAACCATTTATTATAATAGTTAAATTCATGAATAGATCTATGCTAGATTATCATTGAAAATTTGAAAGTACTAGACAGCCGTCTTGTTGTAGTGTGGGACTCCTTAGTAGTGCTTTCGGTCTCATGAGCAAATGCTTAATTTCTAGACTACTGAACCGAAGTTCAATGGTGTTCATGTACCAACTTTAATCGACCCATGATCTTGTGCAACCCTTCTCTTTTTTATTGTACAAATCTTCATACCTGTATTCCTTAGTTACAATAGATATAATGTGCGATAGTTTATGAATTAATTTTTTATTTATTTGCTTTGTTGAGTTATTGTAGAACTTTGTGAAGATTAAGGAATTCTGTAAATTATTTAGTAACTCCTCCTTTTAATGACTACATAAATCAATTACGTAATAAGTGTTTGTCACTGAAATTGAGTAACGTTTGTGTCGTGATGTGCAGTGACCGAAATCTGATAGTGAGATACAGTATGTTATGAGCTAACCCCCCCCCAACTGACTACTTGAGCGAGAACACAAGGATGAGTGAGAAAGTGTATTGGACTGCCGAATAAAATGCGCAAATACTCAGTTATATATATTGACCCCAATGAAATGCACTTGACCTTTAGGTTACTTCTGATCACCATCGATTGACTTTATACATCAACTTGAAAATTTTTAGTTGTTATCTTTGTTCATTTTAAGTAAACACTTCAGCTTGGCCAATGAATCAGTAAACAAAATGAAGACGGTTCAGTGGAGGAAAATTTTTTCCGTCATTTTATTGATTTAAAGCCGTACAATCGTATATATAGTTAATTTTACATATAGTAGTTTGTCATAAAGGAAGTTCTGAATCATCCGACAAAGTCGTCGTAAATTCTCAATAGCACTCACCTATCGAACTCAGATTACAAAATTGTACTACAGGTGATAAGAAATAACAATATAATAGTTGAATTCATAGGTCAATCTTAGATGTGGATTCACTGGATGGCCGTTTCGTCTTGGTATGGGACGAAGAGATTTCCAAGATTATGGAGCGATTAAAGTCGGACACTGATACCGTTAGATGCCGGTTCATTGATCTAAAGATTTAGCTTTCGCGCATTAGAATAAAGATACTGGGTTCGAACCTTCCATGCGGGGTCGTGGATGAGCACAGTCGGGGAGTCCCATACTAAAATGAAACGGCCATGCAGTACTTCGAGATTTTCAATGATGGTCAAGCTAAAATCGACTCATGAATTCAACTATTACACAAATACTATGATCTCCGCAAATCTCCATTCTGAAAATAACAATTTGCAGTGGAGTTGTAAAAAAAGTAATTGTCTACACTACGTGTATGAGGCTGAAGAGTATGATATTAACTAGGACCAATAATTAGTAGAACTAGAGGGGTTACTAAGATTTTGATTGAATCTTTTTCAGTTTGTTTAACTATATAAACAACTCATCAAGAAAAAATTTAACTCACCTGTACGTAATCCAACAAATATATCCATAAAATAGACACAATCAATACAATAGTCTAATACCATCCAAATGATAGGACTTAATTCATGAAATTGAGTGAATGCAGATCTCATCGGTAAAACAATTGCATTGTAAAGTACTGTGATTGTAACAATTCCAATCCAATAATAGTATCCACTTTCAGATGAATCAATAACTAGATCTTTAAGGTTACTATGAAAATAAATAATAAATATGAATTAATATTTCTTTTCAGAAAAAATAAAAGAATGAAATTCAACGGATGCTAATCACTTTATTGAGATCACTGAATGACCTACATTGAACAATCGTCAAAAACTTGTAAGAATTTGATGGTCATTTCGTCTTGGTATAGAACTTCTTCGGACCTAAACATCTATAATCTTGTGTTTGTGATTCTAACCGAAGAGTTTTAGTATCACTCTAGTTGTTGTAATCATCTACTTTTATAGTGACAAAGGATATCAAGTGTTCTTAATAAGGCATTGTTTACTAAATTTGTTCTTGCTTTTATATTCACATACATGATTCATTGTGTTTTAAGGTATTTCTCTATCTTTTAATTCATGTGTCTATTTATCCATACATTTTTATCGAATGCTAAAACAGAGGGATTGGATTGATCTCTCAATGGAGAGGTCTACGATGAAATTCGGAGATGTGACTCTATGGTGGTCGGTGACCATAGTAAAATCATTTACTATTCATTCTCTAAAAATTTTAAAACTTAGTTTCACAGTTAAATTAAAGTCACAGTTTTTCAGATCTTTTTATATCTCGACGGAGCTTAAACACCTAATATTCACTTTTACCTTCTCAATACATGACAATACTGAATGAATTTTCTATAAAGAAGTCTATAAATAGACAATCCTATAAGAGAATCAAGTTATGAGGATTGAGCCGTTTCACAAAATTCTAATTGAAATCAACGATTTAGAAGGAAGTCAATGGAAGAAACAAATTGAACTTTTGTGGGACATTACAATAAAGAGAATTTTCATTTATTTCACGGTGTATAACGAATTTATTCTAGTCACCTTACCAATTACATTGTAATCAGATAGGAATTTCGTGGAGATTGTGGTAATTTAATAAGTGAATTCATAAGTCAATTGAAGCTAGACCACCATAGAAAACATGGGAGCACTGGATGGCCGTTTCCTCCTATCGTCACGCTCCTCACCAGTGCGCATCCACGATCCCACCCCCCTCGAGATTCGAACACAAAACCTATCAGTTTCACGCACGACCACTTAGCTTATAGACCACTAAGCTGGCTGATATACAACGGTGTTAATGTCTAACTGCAACTAATTCACGAAATTGTGCCACCGTTCACCATTTCTTCAGTAAGTTACTATCTCAAAACAGACTCTGTTGAACTCCACTGGCCATGGATACGCACTGCTGAAGAGTTCCACAATAGAACGAAACGATCGTCCAATGCTTCCAGGTTTTCTATGGTGATCTAGTTTCAATTGACTCATGAATTCAATTATTAAATTATTTTATCATTGTTAAGATCTTAAATTATAAAAATGATCAAAACACCAAAAAAATGTTTTTTTTATATTTCAAATTAAATTAAGCATTGAAAAGCTTTCTCTGATATTTTGTTAATGTTCAATTAGCAAAGTATTAAAATATTGTAGATAATTTAGTTAGATATTACAAAAAAAAGAAGAAAGAAGAAAAGAAGTTTAGTTATTCCCAAGGAAACTGATAGATTGAATAGTTTCAAATTACAATTTTTACTAAATATAGTTTGAATTTGAATAGTTTGAATTATTGCATTGTTTATATTCCTAAATGAAACTTGATCGTATTCACTTGATACTGTTCACTTGTATCTTCTCATTGTAATTGATCAATATTTTGTGACTATCAAGATTCAATAGATAAGTGGATAACACAATGAGGTTTAAAGTGAATGATGCTGAGTTTGAATCAAGGAGTGAACATCAGCTGTAGAATGTAAGTACATCAAGCTGACGAGTTCCAAATAATACAAAGTGGTGCGCGTCTTGGATTCCACTGTTAGCTACTATCTATCTTTGATTATGAAACTTGACAAGTTTTAGTTAACATATAGTACATCCCATGCGGATTGCCTCGGTTTAGCCATTATATCATAAGTTTTTATAGAATAGATTAAACATGGTTAAAAGTGGAGTTTAGGATGTATGTTTTGTCTTATTTAGGATTCGTCAGCTGAATGTGTATAAGCCAGCAGGTATCTGGATTCAACAGATCAACAGATAAAGCGTAAGTCGTTTCATAGAAAGTTATTGAGCTCTAATTTTAGTGTGAAAGTGATCAATGAAATGCAGGTATATCCATCTGACGAGTTCTAAATAGGACAAAAGGGTCTCCTGAATATCATTACTAACCACATTCCATCTGTTCTATAAAAATATAGATAATTTTAGAGCAAAAAGTTGAATCATTTTTAGGTTAGTATTGTCATATTTAAATAAAATCATCAATTTATGTTATTGAGGAATTCAGTTGTTTGATGTTAGACTGTGAATAACTACTTACAAGTTACCAGAATTACTACTACATATATAGATAAGGGGAACTAAGGATTATAGTTCTAACAGAGAAAATGTTTGTGTAATTATGTCGGCTTCTCGATTAATCCTGTGAACTGAATTAATTTTTATGTCTGCTGACAAACAAATACAAAAAACTGAGTTATTGATGACAAACTTAGTGGTCTTGAATGCTGTTAGAGGTATGAGGGCGGTTATCACTTCCTGGTCGCCCACACCGTGGAAGGGTTCTTCTGGAGGTACCCAAAAAGGAAATTGGATTAAAGGTGGTCTTAGTGACCTGAGAGCGTGACCACAGAGCCCAAGAGACAACTGCTTGAGGTCGGTCACACACGACCTTTTTATGGGTAATTTTGTGTTAGCTCCACACTTGTTGAAACCTTACAGCCGGAGACGGATATCTGTGGGATAAGGCGAGGTGTGCAATTTTAAGAGTTGACGTTTTCCAACCCCACCCTTCCTTGTGGGAAGGCAGCATCGCTGTCATGCTAGTTGTCTGAAGGAAACACCTTACTGCTGTCACACCTCTGTACAGTCAGCACTACGACTTCGCTTTTGGACCTTAGGCTTGTCGCTTCTGGTCTTACAGTTCTTCAACCGAGCTGTCTGACATGGTAGAACCTTGAAAAACGGTTGTTCCAGCCAGTATAGCTCGGTTGCTTCATCACGATAGGCAAGCATGACCACCACATCAAGGTAGCAACAACGGTCGGGAATGACAAATTTATAGTGAATGAATGTCAGTATATAAAAAAATGGTCAATACACAAAAATAAACACTAACAAAGTTCATTTAAGATATAACTAACTCTAGAGATCATGAATCATAGGTTAATTATCAGTCAATAGCATCAAAACCTTGATCACTAGGTCGGCTTGACTAATAGGATTTGTTTTGCATGAAAGATCGAAGATATATAAGGTAACCTTGTGTTACTAGTCTATCTGTTCTCGATTTTCACATGAATTATACGTTCCAATAAAATTGTAGGTACATCTTAACTTGTTTCAAATAGGAAGAAATCTAGATTTAAAGTATCTTGATGACTAACTCCAATCACCTAACACTGTCCCATTTGTCAACTATCATATCAACAAAATCCCCTTTCTAATAATAAATACATCAATGATTAATCAAGACTTTCAAAAATTTGAAACACTTTTGTCACCTTGGTAACTTTTGAATTCTTTCACGTATGGTTAATTTTTTCTTTGTTTCACCTTCTGTGTCTTGTTTATTTGTATCATTTTTCTTTTCACCAATTTCAGTATCTTTATTTATGATTAAATTCTCCTCTGCTGAATCGATTTGTTTCTCACGTTTATATTTTTTATTGAAACACTTAATAAAATGAAAAAATAAATAAATAAACAAACAAAAGTAAATTACTATAATATCCACAAAATCCCATACTGATATTATTCAATATATGCTCACTAGTGACTGGATTCAAGAGGTATATCCTGAAGTTATAGTGAGAAGCAGTGATCAATGGAGTTCAACCAGGTCTGTTGTGAGATATTAGCTGTGTCACTCAATTTTGTGGATTAGTTGAAATTAGACATTAACATCATTGGATGCCAATCAGCTTAGTGGTCTAGTGGTTAATCGCTCACGCGTGAGACTGATAGGTCCTGTGCTTTTAGCTGGAGAGGCGGAGTCGCGAATGCGAACTGGTGAGGAGTCCCATAATAGGACGAAACGGCCGTCCAATGCTTCCAGGTTTCTCATGGTGGTCTAGCTCCAGTTGACTTATGTTCTCAACTATTAAAATAGTTTTTTGATAAGAACATTTGTAAATATCATTTAAACTATATGTTATTTAGTCGAAATTGTATCGTTTGCTTGTATCTTCCGATTGGTGTCTAAGACTGTAATTGATCTCTAAATGAATATCTACTCTGAGATGCAAGTACATCCAGCTGACGAGTCCCGAATGAGAAAAAACGCACGTTCTAGATTTCACTGCTAGCCACCATCTAACTTTTCTCAAAACACTTTATTTATACATTTCGGGGATTCATGGAAAACGTTTTGTGATAAATTATCTAAACGTCATTATAAATCGCTATTTTAGTGCGTATAGATAAAAGTTACCACTAAATTTATAATGACTTATAAAGTGAATAATGATAAGGCTATTTATATTGTTGTGCAATATTCAGTATCTGTTATAACTTGTGGCTTGTGTGCCCTGTTAATGTATAACATAACGATACCGCCAATTAGAGAGCAGTGACTTATCGATTGGATCAATGACGCGTAAACTTGTATGAGCAGTCTAGAGTCCTTATTAGCCCTGGTTCGTACCTAGCCCAACCAGTTAAGTTCAGAACACCATTTTCAGCCTCTACAATATGAATAATTTATTTCAAATATACTCTGTTTATATACCAACCAGACAGAACACATCGTATCATAAAATATGTAAACAACGTTTGTACAAGATTTGGCCAAATGTGGCTGTGAATGTGGGAGGTAGTGATTAATAAATAGGGAATAATTCAAGAACAGTAAATCGTATACTAATAGTTCACAGGTTAGAATAAAGCTTATGATAATAGAGACATGAATATGAATAGTTTAGTTAATTAACAATTATATAGCAAAAATATACGAATATTACTGGTCCACAAATGGATTCCAAAATTACCATTCATTATGATTATCGCGACCTAACAGTATCAAAATATTAGAACTCAAGTATCATAATTAATGCTAATTTTATGAATTCAGTATCATTATATACGGACTATCGACTTATCTTGTGAGGTAATACTTAGGAATCCAGTGAGAAACCATAACCAGTAGAGTCTAGCCATATTAGGTGTGAGGCAGTTACTTATAAATGCAATTGAAAGATAGTCGTCTAACATCACCAATTGACTAAAGTTAAACATGTAAATCATTTAACGTCGACTCAATTGTTGAAAGGTTAGGTATGAGATCTAGAAACTTTGTGTTTGATCCGCAGTAGGGGTCGTGGAGGTACAAACCACTGAGCGATTTCATACTAGTTTGAAAAGGTTGTCTAGTTCTTTCCTATTCCCACTGGTTTTCTAATTAAGGTCAGTTTATGATAGAAACTAAAGTTATTATTTGTATTTTGTCATTGATCAAACTCATTTATTACATCTCATTGACATTTATAATATGATGAATTGAACAGTTTAACATAAATAAACGTATTTCATTTATTAAACATACAAAGTAGAGTAATATCTGATACTGGATTGAGAATAGTTTAGTTGCTATCATTAGCATTTGAGTACAAATACAGAAAACGAATAGTAGAATCAATTTACATAACATTATGAAACTTGAATACTTGAACACTTAAACATCGTCATCTTAATTACTTCCCTAGTTTCTTTGAAAATCTTTCATCATTGAATGTCAAGTAAACTATTAATAACGGAAAGTTGTACTTCTAATGTTAATATAAAGGGGTATATATCTACGTAATTTGTGATCTCAAGTTCTTAGAAACTTATAAATGAATTTGGTAACATTTTTAATAAGGAGATAAGGATAATGATTCTTATGCAATTATCTAAAGAAGATCAATAAATCAAAGTACTTTTATAACATTTTCCTGACTTTTGAATATTTTATTGATAAATGATCAAGATCTCTTAATATCTGGCTGGCTAATTTCAATTGGATTATTATGTATAATTATGAAGTAATTGGTGTTGATAGCTTTATATAATCCTATAATTGAAAACAAACAGTGAAATACACTAAGATCATTATGATTAAAGAGAGGGATTAAGCTTCACAAATTCTTAAATAAATGTCAATCGAACTTTTGAAACATTAGCATAAAGTAGAAGAATTAAAAACCAATATCTGATTATATCAGCGTCCAGCTAAAGAGGAGATTAGGTTTACCATTGTGGTCTAGCTTCAATTGACTCATGATTTCAATCAGTGAAATTCCAAAAATCTCCACAAAACTCATTTTGAAAATAAGATTTTGTAGATAGTTGGTATATTTTGTTACAAACTATTAATATCTATGAGAATGATCTATAAAGAAACCTCCTCATATGAATACATTAGTATTAAGATTATAAAAGTTATGTTTTAATATTTGTGCGATGGTAAGATCTAAAAGTTGATAACAAGTTCCAATGGTGAAATAAGATCACAGGATAGACAGACATCATCATCCATTGCGAAACATTTGATTGAGACGGGTCATAAGGTTGATATCAAATCAGCATTTATTGTCTTGTACAAAAGCCTTCAAGGACGTATACTAAGGTTTATTGAAGCCTTGGCTATACGGAAATTGAAACCCCCTTTATGTGTTCAAAAACAATTTGTACTTACACTTAAGTTACCCTGGTAATACTGATTAATTATCCAGAGTGGTAATCACATTTGTTTTTGTGTACTTTATTATTTTTCCTTTGTTATGACTTACCCTTAACCTGTCTAGTTGACCTTTTAATTTTTCATATATAAATGTTCTTAACAAGTATATGTGTGATCAGATTGTTCGAAATGTATTGCGCAAATATATCACATAATTCTGATAAACTACGTCTTCTCATTGCATTATCGAAGTTTTTAACAGTCGAATGTACTTTTTCATTGCTTTTATTACAGAAACGTTTAATCTGTTAAGAACTTTCAAGTCATAGGCTGAACTTAGCATCAGAATCTCAAAGACATTTAACCTCGGTGTTTGTTATTTCTGATCAGATCGTAACACAACTGGAATTATTCAATTGATTTATAAATAATCTTAGTTATTCTGAAATACTGTCATCATAGTGTACTAGAAGTAAATCACTAATAAGTTAAACTAAATTAAAAGTAAATTACCGTATGATGGGTACACTTTGACACTTAATCTTAAGCAAATAAATTACAAATTGAACTAAATGTATAAATGTGAACCATGAGTTTTGGATTAAGTAATTTAAAAGTATGAGGAACATAGTAATTGGTTTTATCTTATATGGTCAGTGCACTTACGTCACTGAAGAGTCCTAAACTTTTGTGAAACAATTGTCCAGTACTCTGTACTTCTTGAGAATTATTGATTCGATAACAGTTTATTATAACTTCATCACGTAAATAATCTAACGGTATGAAGTCTGATTTCTATCAGACTATTCATTCAAAATTTTGACAAATATTAGACTGTATCCAACAACTATTTTCGGTGACTCGATGAAAGCAAACAATAAATCAGCAGGCGTTTCGTCGTTTATTTAAAAATCTCATCAAGAATTGATAAATAAAAGTTACCATTTCACTCCAGAGTTTCTTCAGCAGAATGATAAATTATGATAAATCTTCAAATGAATCATTCACAGTTTCAACATAAAAACCACGACTCGAAAACTCAACGAAATCAAGAGTAAGAGACAGCATATCTGAATCTATGGATGATGATTTAATGATTTTAAATTTATTGTACTGACCATAAGAAAAGATGCTTCTTGATTATATCATGGGCTGAATGAGTGAACCTTAAAAGCATCTATCTCTCTATCTATAATTAATCATATATCTAGTCATCTTCATTCCTCATTGATTATTATTACCAACCTCAGTGCATAATGAATAGTTGATGTTATTTTAATTATTTTATAAAACTTTCCAGGGAATCAGTCCATTTGAAAATCAATTTTGCTTCTAACTAATTAACTAGTTCGATATTACTTATTAGTCATTGTTTCAATCCAATCACTTAAACTATCAATGATAAGTAGATTATGTTTTAAATGTTTGTTTGTTCATTAATTTAGTTACTTCTTGAAGTTAATGATAGAGTTATGTCTTCAGAAACAAAACAGAATGGAGTATGATCAAATGATCCATTGAATTAGAATTTACATGAAACAAGTTTATTTATGTCGCACCAAAATATGATCATGGAGAACACCAACCCATTCACATTTAGTGGAGAAACTCTGGAAGATGTGGAAATTTTCACGTAATAGGGCAACATAAGCTATGAACAAGGGGGGCCTGGTGCAGATGTAAAAGCAAGGATTGGCAAAGCGAATAGAGCTTTTCTACAATTGAAAAACATATGGAACCCAAAACAGCTGTTAACCAATATCAAAGTCAGAATCTTCAATACGAACGTCAAGACAATTCCACCGTAGAGAGCTGAAACTTACAGAACTACCACAACTATCGTCAAAACTCAAAGATGGATAGTGGTTGGCAGTGGAATTCAGGACGCGCACCACTTCGTCCCATTTTGTGACTCATCAGCTGGATGTACGTGCATCGCAGAATTGATGTTCACCCTGGTATCGAATACAGTACCGAGGTGAATTTATCATCAAAACTGTACAAGTATTTATAAACAGTTGTTTACACAAGATATTCAACGTTCATTAATCAGATACCATCAGCAACAAACTACTATGGGAGAGAACAAACCAGATTCCATCTAAAGAGGAAATTAGGAAAAGATGTTGGAAGTGGATAGGACATATATGGTGGAAATTATCAAACTGCATCACAAAGCAATCGCTTACTTGAAATCCTGAATGGATACTAAAACGAGGAAGGACAAAGAACACACTGTACCAGAATTGGAAACAGATATGAAAAGTATGAATAGCAACTGAAAAGAACTGGAAAGGATTGCTCAAAATAGAATTGGATGGAGAATGCTGGTATTCGGTTTACATGTCTCCACTAGGGGTAACTAGCGTAAGTAAGTTAAAACATATGTAAATGGTGTTTTACAAAGATAAAATCAAATCTGATAAATAATTCTTTTGTCTTTTTTATAAACATCCATGTACAATATTTTGACAGACGTTAGAAAGAAAATTCTATTCCCGAAAATTGAAAGTAACTCCAAAATTCCGTTTTTCAGTTTGATTCGAGATGTTGTAGTGAAGTAATCCAGCAGTAAAGTTAATGAATATAAATAGATTTCTTGTAAGCAGTGACGGATAGTGGCTAGCAGTGAAATGCAGGACGCGCGTCTCGTTCTATTTGGGACTCGTCAGTTGGATGTACCTGCATCTCAGAGAGTTGATGTTCACTCTGGGACTCGAAAACAGTACCATTCGCTTCGAACGCCATCGCGTTACCACTCAGTTACTGAGTCCTGATAGTCATTTGCTTGTGAATTTGAATATAAATAGAGTTTGCAGAACCACTTTACACTAAACGATTGTTCAACCATTTCAGATTATGAATTTAAAAGTATCAAAATGAGTCATTTCTTGTGAAATTATAGTAAAAGAAGAAATGTTCATATGTATATGCAGATCCGATGTGAAAAACCATTGAGTATATATGACCATAGATTGTAGTGGAGGATAAAACTAATTAACCTTATTGATGTTCACAAACTAAATTTGTCAAAGAGTGAGTGGAATTGAAAATAAATAGACAAATTTATGTTTGTGCTGACGTTAAACAGACTAAAAGTTCATAGGATGCATGAACGCAATAATTAATTAAAGCTAACGAAACTACATTGTTGTTGCTTACAAAACATGAGATGTCAAACTAAATAACGAATTCAATATCTAATTTCAATTGATGAGACCATTAAGAAGCAAAATCTCCTTACCCTAAACATTCGGCGTTCAACCATCGTGATACTATTCGTTCAAATTTCGTCAAAATTTCTGATCAGATTTAATTACGAATATCGATTACCATAAAATACAAACAATTATCACTCTAAGGTTGAATTTCATTGAAATCATGAAGTTATCTAAGTTAAATCACTCGTGAGAAGCTAGTAGCACTGGAAGGCCGTTTTGTCCTAGTATGGAACTTCTCAGCAGCGCAGGATCGTGGATATACATTACTGGGGAGTCTTAAACTAGGACGAAACGGTCGTTCAATGCTTCCAGGTTTTCAGTGGTAGTGTAACTTAGTTCACTCCATAATTTAATAACAAACAGCTAGAAATAATAAATATCTTACTATTTGAATAATATGATGGCTACTGTAACTTACGATCTCAACCTAAACCTCTTTGATATTTTAAGCTACAGGTAGATGGTGTGTTCGATATTTAGCGTAAATATTAATATCTCGATGTTGGACCATATCACAATTTCTATTATTAATATTAACAACTCGACAATCCAAATTTGTATAAATCTTAACAGTTAAATTGTATCAGTTTTTACAACCCAATAAGTGTAACTAAGGAACTATTACACAAACCTATATATAGTCAATGAACCAGAAATTCATATTAGGTGAGTTTTCCCTGTTCAAAAAAACCATAAAGAATCTTAGTGCTAAGTTTTATTCTATTCAAGATCTGTAGGTTGAATCCATTTTTGGATTCAATGTTATTATTAAAACTACCTAATAATAAAATAAATTTGTAATTCCTAACCAATTTGAGATATCAGACTGATCTATTTTACTTTCGAGCTTAAACAACGGAAAATTTAAGTCATAATGATTAATAAAAAACAATATATCTATGGAATTAATTGATGACTATCATGAATAATCGACTCATTGGATAACCCAGTGCAGTTTGTGTTTCAGTATAAATGTTAACATTAAGATACAAGTACATCCATATAATGAGTCTTCAATAAGGGTGAAAGTGAAATTCTGGATTTCTTCTCTAGCCACAATCCAATATATATATATATATATATAAAGTATACCTACAAATAGTCCTGAGTTTTACACTCAAGGTTTCCATGTAGTAACAGTGACTGATCAACATTTAAACCAGAAGACATAAAAACCGTAAAAAAATACAATAACCTTTGGGATTAATTAATAGCAAATAAGTAGTATATATAACTTACAAAAATCATTCTTTTTATGACAGATGATTTAGATCGTGATTCCAGATTTTTAAATGCTATATCCGTTTTTTCCACAGTTTCAGCCATGTATACTTGTCAAAATTCTAATTTGATTTTTATACATATAAAAGTAATAGGCTATTAAGCTTTATTTAAAAATAGATTTCCTAGTTTAATGATCCACTATAGTCAATACTTATAGTCACATTGACAAATCTACTTTGAATAAAGTTACAGAAACTCTGTAAGCCATATATATATATACACAGCACTCCACCATGATCCATCACTCCCACCCCATATGCTCGTCTTTATCATTGTTGTCATGGTAATAATGATATATACATATATAACGGGTGTGCCATATACAGGCGTGGTTAGGTAATTTATTCATCTTATTGATTTTTATTTCCTCATTTTTTTTTCGAATATTTTCCTCACTTAGAGATAAACAATAATCGGATGTTAGGCTACTGTTTCATAAAAAGTTTATTTTTTTTCAGTTTATTAATCCCCAATCTTTCAATGGTTTTATTCACTAGTTGAATTTTTTTCCCTTCACAGAGAATACAATCAGATATGGTGATTATAAAAACACTGACGTAATGATTTCATGATTATGTCACATGTATATCTAGAAAAAAATTTAATTTTTAATGTATCAAATATGGTCCACACCTAGACAGGAAAACTAATGATTAAATCACATGGTTGTAGAATATGTAAAATGAACTATTAAGATTATGAACCAATTGAAGTTAGAAATTTATTGAAAATCTGGAAGTATTGGATGATGGTTTCACCTTACTATGCTACTCTTCAATAATGTACAACCACAATTCCTCAATCGGAGACAAACCTAAGATTTTTGGTCGTAAATTTTCATAAAAAATTTCCTACCTAGGATGAAATGACCATCCAGGGTGTATCCAAGTATTTAATGATTGTTTAAGTGATATTGGTTTTTGATCTTGTCATCTCATTATCATTCATCACAACTTTATACTGATAGGATTAATTGATTTATCTTGATTTTGTTTTAAATAATTAACATACATAGATGTATGGAAAAACACTTAGTGTGTCACACTACTATTTACTTATAATTAATCTATTCATTAGCTTTCATGTAGTTTAAAGAATTATAAGATAATCAATTGTTAAAGAATAGTAATCTTCTATGGAAACAGGAATGTCCCTGTTCTTAATATAGAGACATAGTTCTTCATATATATTCCAATTTGATTATTTGTGAATACCTATCTTCCATTGTATTTATAAATAGTTAATAAATGAACTTGTCACTTATTGAATATATCAATGTCATTTTATTTCTCTATGTGAAAAAAAAGAAATAACCCTCATTATATATGTTATATCCGAGCGAAGATTAAATCACGAGTAACTTCTGAGACTTAATAATGGACTAATATTCTTTACTCATTCTTATGGTATAACTATTCAACAATTAAATTATGTATATTTATATTCCTCTTATTATAAGCTTTATTTTGACCTATAATTTATTACTGTACGATTTACTATTCTTAAGCTATGCTCAGTTTCTTAACTACTGCCTACCACGTTCACAGCCACTTTTTGGCTTTATTGTGTACAAATGTTATTTCCTATTTTATGGTGCGTTGCGGTCTGTTTGGTTGATATATAAACCCAGTATGTCTGAAATAAATGATTCGATTCGATTCGCATATTGGAATCTGGTATTGGTGTTCTGGACTCAAGTGGACGGGCTAGGCGGACATAGGACCAATAAGGACGCTAGACTGCCCATACCGGTCGATAAAATGCCGGACATAAAGTTACAACAATATATGTACTTAATAAGAAGAAATTGAATGAAATCACCACATTTGATCTCAAAATGTTAGATTCTGTCAATTTATAATGAATATTACACACATTGAATATAGTACTGGTTATCATAATTACGTAACCTAACAGCTTACACACTAGTATTTAAAAATGATATATTGTATTGGAGTTATAATAGAAATATCATCTGGATGTTAGTAAATTTGACTGGCTAACCCCAATATGAAGACAAAACTTTTAACGTTTATTCTACCGTTAGCCATTAACAAAATATATGTAAACCATATAACTGGATTCGATATGTAGGTATCTGCTAAATGTGAGATTATATAGGAACAGAGACTGAACAAGTTTAGTTGTGAATACAAGTAAACTCATATAATATTTAATAATAATAAAAAACAGATTCACTGATAGCAATCATGATAAAAAATTATCAGATTAAATTATTGGAACGATTGGACAGAGATTTTGTGCAGTTAGTAAATAGTTTTTCTCATAAGCTACAATAAGCGAAATAGCCAGTGAAAAATAAGGAGTTGCATCTTGATAGATACTTTCATTATTTCACTGGTTGAAATCATGAGTCAATTGAAGCTAGACCAACATGGAAAACCTGGAAGCACTAGTATGTGACTCCTCAGCAGTGCGCATCCACGATCCCGCACCCCGCGAAATTCGAACCCAGGACCTATCAGTCTCGCGCAATGCGCTTAACCAACAAGTGAAATTTCTAGAATCTCCACAAAACCCCTTTTGATACTTTCATTATTGTAAATAAAACCCAGAACAATCATGTTTTGCAGCTAACACGAATCGATTTCAAGTAAACAACAGGATCACTGATAACCATAAACTACGTTTTAGTTCAATTAATCAGTTTTTTAAATACATCAGTGTTTTTTCGACGCAGTTATGAATATATATTGTCATTGAAATATACTGAAAATCATAATACGTGCGTGTAATTTACCACCATACTAGATGCTTGATACAGATCAAGTGAACTGTTATCACTGAGTTATTTTAGGTGAGATTGAGGTTAGAACTGGTCAACTACTGTGTAATGATCAATCTAAATTTGTCTAAATCTCAATGCTCAAAGTTAGACAAAAGCGAAATTGGTTAAGAAACTGTGAACAATCTACATTAAGATCATTCATATTTTTATTTAAAATACATAATTACATAAACATGATTTTAATCTATGTTTTAATTTTAATTATTAAATGAAACATATACTACTTACAAGTAGTTTAAAACAACTTACAAGATAAATAAGAAGTTATTAGGTAATTATTAACAAATCTACATAACTCCTGTTTTAAAATATGTTGAACAAGTGTGCGAACTTAGTGAGACTAAACAATTCGATAAAGTTCCAAACCATTTTGTTTTATTAAGCGTAATCAGTTTTATAGTTAGACGGGAGCTTGGTCAATAGAATTTGTTCTGTAATAAGATTGATTAGATAAACTTAACTACGGTTATTACTCAGTGATCAATGGGTATAAACAATTTAGTTCTATCGAAAATTAATTGATATTCAGATGACTTGGCGTTTGATATTCCATTAATTGATACATTCGTAATTCATTAACAATCGAAATACTTGCATTTGTAATGTTCAACAAAAACCATTATTTTATCAAAACGAATGTAAATGTATCGAACAGAAACCGGTGGTTCTTGTATTTAAACTGTACCCTAAAGAGAATGAAAAGCGAAGGAAGGATGAGAGGTTGAAGTAGAATAAAAAATTTCTGTACTTCTAAGGTATTGAAGATCCACTAATTCGAACCCGAATTCTACATGCGAAATGTGATACTTTTCACACTCTCATCCTTCTTTGGTCTTAATTCCTTTCTGTACACTGTTCAAATACCAGTACCAACAAAAACTATTATTGATTGAATTTCATTTTGTCTATTAATTTAATTAACCGTGTTTATCTTTGTTTTTTCTTCTGAGTAAGATAAACTGATCGATGCTAAAACGGTCAATTTCTGATTTATTTTCTTTTTGTTATTGTTTATATATATGGAATTATTTACATAATTGAAAATGAATCGCTAACAAAAAGTGAATCTTTTTTAATTCGTTATTATATTTATCTAAATCAAGAAACCTGATTACCATGAAAACTAGTTTTTTATTCCATTTAACTTATCTTAAATTCACTTGGTATTGTTCGGTTTGTATCTTCCCATTGAGGTTTAAGACTGCAATTGATCAGTCTGCTATTGGCATATGTGCATTCTGTGCGTATGCCTCGATATTGCCTGAATTCACAAGCTTTTTGTAAGCAATGATGGATAGTGGCTAGCAGTGGAATGCAGTTTGACGCGCGTTTCGTCCTATTTAGGACTCGTCAACTGGATGTACCTACATCTCAGAATTGATGTTCGCTCTGGGACTTGAACCCAGTACCATTCGCTTCGAACTCCATGGCGTTATGTACTTAGCTACTGAGTCCTGATAGCAATTTGCTTGTGCAACTTATCTTAGTTTAGAGAAATAAGATTTATTTCTCTCTTATGATATACTGTAGTGAACAAGAACACGAATAGGGACAATCGAATGTATTAGACGTGAAATGACAGGGTATCTCACTAAAATCTGAGAACCATATAGTAAATAGTTAATTTGCAAAATATCAATCCATCGTCTCAAACTTCATTGTTCCTTTTACAAATATCAGTTCATTGTCTCGAATTTCATTGTTCATTCATTTTCATACTAATTGCTTTCCGTTTTCGTTCTTTCTTTATCGATCTCCTACTGAAATACATTATATGCCTGACCACAGTTATATACTACTTATATGGATATAATTAACCCACACTACAATACTATTTTAGAATAATATTTAGATCCTTTAGAAAAATTCTCAAAAATTAAATAATCTGTTGAGAGATGTTTATAGTATAAAATCAATAGAAAGAACATTTCTTTTAAAGTCAATAAGGTATGGAACTATAAAGGATTGTAAAGGTAATAAATCGGATGCAAACCTTCGATGACAGTCAGTTTGTTATGTTGATGAGTGCGAATTAATTGATTTTCAGGTTGCTACCTTTCTATTCATTTAGTTGGTGAATCATTGAGATAACCCTAAGAGTTTGTATTCTACCAATAAACAGAGCTTTTCTGAACAATAAAAATAGAGAGATTAAACAAATGGGTAGAGTTTAAAGAGTATAGAATTGAGTAATTATTATGTTAAATTTATTTCTGTGATCTTGGTTTATGTATTTAAGGAAGAGGATTTTGTAATTTAATTGATCGCTTTTAGAAATGTAGAA